TGTTAGATTACAACATAGGGTTGACACAGTTGGTCCCCAACGCAATGAGGGTAATAATAGGTTTTTTAGTTTATTGCCGAGCTCAGGGGATCAGTGTGCCAACCGTTAATATGTTTAAGTATTTTTTTGTTTTAAAGGGGGGTAGCAGGAGAGATAAGGGGTGGTATTATTTCACCACGAGGGTAGCTAATAAAGAGGGTAGGATTTTATTCACTGCGGGTCTTTCATCCATTAAGGGATGGAAGGAAAAATTCTTTTTTGTGGATGACACGGAATGGGGGAAAGGGGATGCTGAGGTGAGGGTGTTAGCCTCCTGGAAGGCCAAAAGGGCCAACCAGAATAGGTTTAGTTTGAATGGGGATGAAGAGGAAGAAGTGGGGAGGTTGGTGAGGAAGAGGGGGGATGTACTAAATATTATGGACCTCACCAGCGCAGCATGCATAGAGGCTGCTGAGCTCTATGGGCCAAGCGCTCTGAGTGAAGGTTTGTTTGACATATGCTGTAGCGTTAAATATAGAACATAGAATTGTGACTAATATTGTGTTTCTTCCTTTGCAGCTGACATGAATCAATTTATGAATACTGCTGGAGGGAAGGCCATCCCCAAGAAGCCAAGGAAGAAGTCAAGGACTTCAGCTAAGCAAGTGGATGAGGGGAGAGCTGGGAAGGAGGTAGTGCCCCTGGCTTCAGCTGAGATGGAGGACGAGGTGCCACCGTTGAAGAGGAAGGGTTGGGAGGAGAGGAGAGCAGTGGAGAAGAAGCAGAAGGTGGTGGAGGAAAAGGGGAGTGGGGTGCCTGAGTTCGTACCTCAGCCTCCTCCTGTTGAGCTGGACCCTGAGCTCAGACGGTTGGAGGAGGGGGCTGAGGTACGAGCTCCTGGTAAGGGAAAGGGCCCTATTACCCCGGCGGTGTCTCAGAGCAGCCTGTTCGAGGCGAAGAATATGATGGGGGCTAGGTGGTTTATCAACAACACCTTCCCCGAAGTAAACAAACGCCACGTGCGAGAGGAGGCTCTGAGGTACGGAGGAGCTTCTGTGGTGAAGCACGTCCTTGAGGTACGTTAAATTAATGCTGCTGTTTACTTATTCTGTTTCTTCTCTTCTGTTTCTTTGAACTTCTGCTTTGATTTGCAGAGCGCGAGCTGGGTGAATGGTCTAGCCCAGGAATTCAGGGAGGGTGTAAAGGCGCGCGCACTCTTGCAGAGGCAGTGTGACCAGCTGCAGAAAGAGAAGGAAGAGTTGGAGAAAAAGAATAAGGAGCTGCAAGAGTCTCTGAACGAGGTGGTTCCAGCTATGAAGCAGTTGGAGCAGGAGAGGTCTTCCTTGAGCACCAAACTCGTCTTTGAGGAGAGCAAACGAAGGATCTCCGAAAGCGAGCGTGAGGCTCAGGCGCAAGAAATAAAGCTGATAACGGAGGCATTCAAGGAGCTGAAAGGGAACATGCAGAAGTTGGTGCATAATGGAATGGAGGAGCACATTAGCAACTTCATCAGTTCCAGCTCGTTTGACAGCATCGTCAACTTGTACCAGCTGCCCACTGCCATCATCGCGTTTACTGATTGCAGAAAGAAGGTGAAGGCTGCATATCCCGAAGTGGATGTGACAAAGATCACCTTCGGCGAGCAAGAAGAAGGAGTGGAGGAAGATGGTGAGAGCATGTCAGCAGACTTCCGTCCTCAAATCAAATTGAGGTGGGAGGATGATGCAGACGGTCTTGCTGTTTTCCCTCCAAGATTCGACTTTGAGTTCGTGGCAGTGGAGGAAGAAGGGGCAGAGGTAGGAGGAGACGAAGTGGAGGTAAGAGTGGAAGGAACTGAAGTGGATGAGAGGCAACTAGCTCCAGAAGTAGAGATCCACTCAGTTCCTTCTGACGATGAGCAGCCTCCACTGCCAGATGAGCAGCAGCCAACACAACCACCTCTTCCGGCTGAACAAGAGCCAGTGGAACCACCTCCACCAGCAAAGAAATAATTTTTTTTTGTGAATTTTTTGTAGAAACATTAAATAATTTATAAAACTGTTATTGCTGTTAAATGAAAATTCAATTTTGAAATT